TCGTTATGTTGGACTGTATGTCCACGAAGTACTTGTGCGACGGGTTGAACGCGATGGTCGTGTGCGAGAAGTCCTCGGCGGTCAGCCGTTTGGGCGACAGTTTCGGGTAATTAAGTGACACGACATACAGGTGCCGCTCCAGCGGCGACTCCTTGAGTCCGCAGAAGTAGACCAGTCCCTGGTGTTCGTCGCACCAGACATCCCTGTCCGACACCTCCCAATTGCCGTGAGTTAACTGCGATTTACTGACCAGTTTTGAGCGTAACGTCGCTATGGACTCGAAGGGTGCGGTGGTTTGGTGTCGACCGTAGTCCGAGTCTTAAGGTTCGTACAAATAATGTAATCAATTAGTGGACAAACAGATAATCAACACTAAGACTAAGTAAACCGTGTATTCAATACTATCGGTATATACCGGTATATAATTTAGTCGCTTATTAATTGTGTTTATAATAAAAAGTATGTGAAGTTTTATACACTAAAAAAGTTAAATTAAAAGCGAGTCTAATGTGTAGTTTACGGCAATTAATGAGTTTATAAATGGCTTACTGTGTGACATATTAGGAGTGGTGCCAAAAGTGGTGCCATTAGCACTGGTATTCCCTTCATCACTACTGTTTCCTAAATGAAAAACAACATAAATTTACTTAATTTAAGCCAAAAAGTAAAATTAAAACTATTAAGTTTCATACGGTACTAACATATGGAATAACAAAATTTTTAACACAAAACTACTAATAAACCTATAATTAATTATACAAATAATAAAATAAGTAAACTATTAGAGACTACACTACACTCCAACTACCGGTGCTGTAAACATAAAACACAAATCAATACCTGATTTACTTCGTTGCGAGTAATCTATACTGAAATCTGAAACAATTAAAAAAAACTCAATTAAAATACCATAAAAACTAAACAAAAATCTTAAACCCAAACCTGTTCTCTGGTCGAGTTTAGGTTGTTTCGCACCGTTAGTATCCTCTTTCGCTGTCACCACTGGTTCACCGGTATTCTCATCGGACTGGTGTTCACTCATACTATCATCGCCCGGACTATTGGCCACTAATTCGACTTCTATTTGATACAAATGTCGAAACCCTGACTCCTCGGACGACCACAAGAACCGCAATCGGGAACCACTCGCCAATTCATCGCCCGAATCGGCTCCAAAGAAGTGCAACACGTCGTGACAGTTGATCCACTGAGCGGTGGTCTCCTCGTAGATAATCTGCGGCGCAAACAAGTCCTGCAGTGACATCAGCGCCAAGACTAGATGCGATTGACTCCTGTCCA